CAGATTTATTCTTTAGATAAAAAAGAACAAAATTGAAAGAGGAATTTTTATTTTAATTTTTTTTAAAAAAGTTATAATGATTTTAAGCTACTATATAAAAAGTGGATGTCTTATCCTGTCCCAAACTGTAGTAGTTTTGTTATTATATATTCTATCAAAACTATTTAATTATTTTTATAATTTACAATATAATTATATTTTAGCTAAAACTAATATTTATAAATAATACTAAGCATCAGATTGCTAATTTTTTAATAAGATTATTATATTATATAGATTTTATTTTATCAATTTTTATATATTTTATTTTTTATATCTTTTTTTATAATTACTTATATCTAATATTTTATTTATATTTTCTTTGTTTTATATTTTCTTTTTCTTTCTATTAGTATAATTTTGTATTTGAGTTTTTTTTAATTTTTTTAGATTTGTGTTTATTTTATTTTTTTTAAATTTAGACTTACTTTTTTACATATACTCTGATTTTTGGAATTTAAATTAGGGTTTTTTAGAGGTTGCATTTTTTTAAATTTTAAAAGCAAATAACTTTTAATCTTCAAGTTTTTAAAAAATAAATTTATTATTATCATATTCACCTCTTTATTATGATTCCAACAAGTTCAAAATCATCCAAATCTAATCACAGAATCAAGAGATAAAGCTATAATCAAATAAAAACACACCTTATATTTTGCTTTTAAAATTTAAAAAAATGCAAACCCTAAAAACCCTAATTTAAATTTCAAAAATCAGAGCATATGATTTTATTTTTCTTTGTTTTAATTTTTTTATACTTCTTTTCTTTTTATTATATTAATTTTTATTTTTTTATTATTATTTTTTTGCTTTTTTAATTTTAATTTGTTAGTTTTGTTCTTCTTGTTTTTATTATTAATACTAGAGTTATAATCTGGTTTACTATTTCTTAGTTTAGACTATTGCTAAATAAAAATTTATTTTTTTGCTAAATTTATAAATTATATTTCAATATACAGATTTCAAATCTATAATTTGCTTAACTTTTTGTTTATTGTTTTTCTTGTTGTTTTTTTTGTTTTTTTTAGTTTAGTTTCTATAATATTTTTCTAAATTCTTTTATTTTGTTATTTTACTTTTTATTTTTCTTGTTATTTTTTTTTTAGTTTAGTCTTTATAATATTTTTCTGAATTCTTTTATTTTGTTATTTTAATTTTTTATTTAGTTTTATTGTATTTTTTTGCTTTTGCGATATTTCTTTTTCTTTTTTGTTTTGTTTTTGTTTTCTTCAAATATATTTTTTTAAATCATTATATATTTGGTTTATTATATTTTTTGGATAATCTTAATACTCACCAGAAATTAGCCAATCAAATCACAGTATCTTTGTATAACAAAAATAAAGAATTTTTAGAAAAAAAACAAAAAATATTAGTATCTTAAATTTTATTATGAAAACTTGTTTTATATTATTAAATAAAAGTTTTTAGCACTTAATTTTATATATAATAAACACTATAACTCTAATATAGACCTTGTCCTAACCCTTAAGTTAATAAAAAAAAATTTTATTAAGAAATAAACAAGCAAAACTATATATTGATTAATTTTATCTATGGTTATTTCTAAATAAATTCTATTTTTTTTGTTAATTTGAGTTGTATATCTTTTTTTAGTTTTTGCTTTTATATATTCTTTTTGCTATTTGGTTAAAAGTATGCTATTTATTATATAATTTTTATTATAGATACATAGTTAACTAAGTGATTATGTTATATATATATAATATATAATATATATAGAATTTTACTAACTATAATTAGCAGTAACAATCACCAGTATCATGTGACACATTAATTACTATAATATTACATGAAAATTTTTAACAAAATTTTTTAATATAGAATTTACTTAAATATGATACTATGGCTTATAATAATTTATTAGCTACGCAAGACTACACATGGCCATATGCCATTATATATAGTATAATTTGTGTTGCTTTGTTTATGCTCAGCAACACGTAGAAAGTGAGCGAAGCGAACCCTGTAATCACTTCACTTCAGCTATCGCCTTCACTTCGCTTATTTTTTCGAAATGTTCAATGTAATCTAACCTTAATTCTGAACTTTAACCCTAATCTAAACCTATTTTTTTTAGCTACTAAACCTAGCTACAACATCACAACAATCAAAGTCTAACATGAATAGAACGACGAACAAAGCACTAAACCCAGCTAATACAAACTCAGCACCAACAACGAAAGTATCCAATAATATACCAAAAAAGGAAGATGTGATGGCCACCTATCCTGAACCTGAAAAAAGTTAGTTCTACTCGAATATGGCATTGAAAACAAAAAAAAAAAAAACTTAGCTGTACAGTTGTCACCAATGATAAAAGCAAATGTACCGAACTTGACGGCACTAACGATGCAAGAAAAAATACAAACCACTAAGTGAACAAAACCTATGACACAAAAAAAAAGCACCAACCTACAAAAAATACCAAGCTGAATGATATCAACGAAAGGCACCAACCGGTGAAAAAAGCACCAAATCGGACGATATCAACGAAGCAAGACCAACGGACAAAAGAAGCATCAATTGGATGATGCCATCTATGCAAGAAAAAATACTAACCAATGAGAAAAGCACTGAACAGGGCGAAGCAACAATTGGATAATACCAACGATGCAAGGCACCAGTCTACCAAACAGGACGTACCAAATGGCGAAAAAAAAAAGATACTAACCGACGAAAGGAGTATTGAACTAGACGACACTAACAACAAACCTACTACACTAAAAGAGAATAAATATGAGTGTTAATATTGATAAAAAAATAACGAAAGCAAAAAAATAAAAAAGTGAAAAAAATCGAATTACTTATCTTTTTATATCTATCCCATGTAACCGGTGATGATCACCGCCAGTGATTTAAAGTAAATACCATATATATAATATATAAATTATATATATTTTAATAAATCTTTAAAAATTAAATAACTTTTGATTTACTAGTATATTTTAGATAATTTAGCTATCAAAATATTTGTCTTGATAAGACAATTTTAATAGGTTTAAAATTATTAAAATCTAATTACAAGATCCTAAGATCATTAAAGTTTTTTGTACTAGTTTATATATAATAAAACTAATTTTATTATATATGAACTAGTATAAAAATCTTAATAATCTCAAGATTCTGTAATTAGATTTTAATATTTTTGAACTTATTAAAATTGTTTTATTAAAATAAAGTTAAGTTATCCAAAACAGACCAGTAGATCAAAAGTTATATAATCTTAAAAAATTAAAATTTTTTAATAATTAATTAAACTAACTAATTAAAATTAAGTTAAAGTAATCAAACTATATATAGATTTTTTTTTTTTTTTTGGTGTTAAGGTGGCCTCTTGGCTGGCTCCTTTTATTCGGTTATAGTTAACTTTACAATATG